CCCCAAAACCCCAAAACCCCAAAACCCCTGGAGATGAGCTCAAATAGAATATTTTTTGGGTTTTTAGGGTTAAAATGTTTGGAAAATTAGGTTCTAGAGGGGGTTTAGATGGGTTGGGGAGTAATAAGACGACCGAAGAAAATGATGTGTTGTGAGAAGGGGGGCCAGAAGATACGGTTTCGACTATTAGGTTCTCCAATAGCTCTGACCTGGATGTTGACCCTCAATTTGTCTCTTGCTCATCTTGGGACGAGACAGTAAAAATATGGGAGATAGGAGCATCTTCTGGTAGATTTTCAACAAAACTCTCAGCTGAAATCTCAATGGATGCACCTGTTTTAGGCCATTGCTGGTCTCCAGATAATGCACATATTTTTACAGCATGTACTGATAATCAAGTAAAGATGTGGGACATCAATACGAATTCAATTAAGCAGGTTGGAGTCCATGAATCCTGAGTAAAAGATGTGTTCTTTTGCGATCTCAACAACATTCTAATCTCAACCGGATGGGATGGGCATATCAAGTTCTGGGATTTAAGATCTTCAACTCCAGCTTTTGACATTTCTCTCGAACCATTAAAGATTTGGTCATTCTCTTATTGATACCCTCTATTAGTAGGAGCTTTAAGCAATGGCATCATTTTTGTGTCCAACATGGAGAATATTACCAAAATGGCAGCGACCAAGCCAGACTTGGGAGTCTCCAGCCCTTTGAAGTTTCAGACAAGGCATGTGGAAGCTTTCCCCGATGGAAAGGGATATGCTGTATCTTCAATAGAAGGAAGATGAGGAATTAAAAATATTGATTTCAATGATCTCAGAGAAAAATATCAAACAGACTTCAACTTCAAATGCCATAGGAAAATGAACAAAGATGCAGATGTTTATGCAGTACATCAAGTTTCGTTTAACCTCAAGCATCAGACTTTTGCTACTTGTGGAGGAGACGGATCTTATTTTATTTGGGATAAAGAGCAGAGAAAAAGACTCAAGTCTACTGGAGGATGTGATGTCCCCATCACTGCATGTAGAATGAACCCTAGTGGATCATTAATGGCCTATAGCTTTGGTTATGATTGGGCTAAGGGCTACAATGCTAGAGGATCATCTCCAGTCAAACTCTTCCTTCATCCAACGACAGACAAAGAAATCAGAATATCATAATAGCCAGCTTCTACAAATAATACAATTAAGATCTAGTTTCTAGGGGTTTTGGGGTTTTGGGGTTTTGGGGTTTTGGGG